GCATAAAATAACATTACAGTTTAAGATTGATTATTTTTGTAATTACTAAAAAAAATTAAAAATTACTATGTTTAATTATCAATGTATGCTAGAAACCGCTAGATTTTATGTGTTACTGAAACCTATTTATGTCATGAAACTGTTTTTTATTTAAAAGATTTGTCTTATAAAAAAAAGAACAATTTTAAAAATAAAAAGATGTAGTATCTTTCTGTAGTTGAATGCTCAATTATAGAAAGATGACACAACCTTCATGTTATGTAAGTTTAAATACAGAATAAACTCTCAGAATAAACTCTCCAAACTGTTCAGTTAACTAATTTTCGTGAACAGTTTTCAGTTAGTTTACTGTACAGTGTGATGATTTTTGTAAATATAGAATATTCAAAGAAACTCCTGTAACATGATTTATTTTGTAAAAGAAACCTGAAATGATTAAATAGGCTTAGCACCACTCAATTTATCGCAGGTTTTTCTAGATTTTAATAACGCTATTTTCTATTTTTATAAGACAAATACTCTTGATGTTTTTTTTATACAAAAGTAATGTACATCTAAAATAGTTAAAAGAACTTAGGACTACTCAATTTTACCATTTTGCCCTATTTCAGACACTTAGCACTTTGTGCAGATTTTAAACACCCACTTTTCTATTTTCACAGTAAATTTAATAACACATCATAAAACCTTGATGTTTTATGGCACACAGTGTTACAGAGGTTAATTTTTATTGTTCTTCAAAATACATCATGTTAACTTGTAATTTTAAGCAAAATTTCTGATTAAAATTTTCAATCACTCATAGATGTCTATATGTTTAATCAAACCTTTTTAAACTTGTGATGATTGAATACTGCGTTCGGCAGTAAGGCAACTTGAAACTTTGTTATGACGGACATCACTGAAATCTTCACTATCAGAATCAAATTGAAAGTATTGTGTTGTTGATAATCTGACATAAAAAGTAAATATATAATATATAAAAAAAATAAGAAACTTTAAAAAATAAGAAATTTTTTAAGTTTCTCCTTCAGCATTTAGTATATTTGCATTTTTATTTATTATTCATTTTAAAATTTAACATTCAGAGTTTTCCATTTTTTAATGAAAATTACATTATAAAAAATTTGAAGCAAATTTTACAACTGGGTACCCTTCCCAAGTTAACCTATTTTACAGAACATGACTGAGTATTTTTATTGTGACACTACCACTTGGAACATTATAATGTATACTATCTTAAGATTTTGAGCTTTTGAGTTTCCCTGCTCCTCCTCTCGAGTCTGTAATAAAAAAAGGGGGTGGGGCATTTATTAATTTTTGGAAAATTTTCCCACCTACACCATGCTTATTTAGACCCCTCGTTTATCAATTTTTACTTGATATTAAAAAATGAATAAAAACCAGTGAAAATCGGCCTTAAAAATTATAAAATAGTTATTTCAGTCACTGACAAAAAAAAAATTTCAGTGTAAACAGGCTTTAAAATCACAGACTAAGTAAATCTCGATTTATCTAAAATGAGCTTTTAATTTATTTCTCACCAAAGTATAAAACTTATATCAAAATATTAAATCATATTGAATTTTTTTTATTTATTTTTTTCATTTTCGCTTCCAACAAGGCTGCAAGCAACCACTACAAGAGTTGGAAGTTACTGGAAGAGAAAAGATTAAGTTTGTAGAGCAAGATAACGATTGACTGATGACTTAAAAGATTGCAAATTATATGAATCAGGGAAGCAAGATGAAGGAAGCGAATTCCAAAGAACTGATGTTCGAGGAAAAAAACTAAACAAATAAGAGTTTTTGAAGCACTTAGGAACAGTCAGAGAAAAACGATGAGACTTAATTTAATGGCGAGTAACACGAGAATGAGTTTTAGTAGATGGCACAAGGGACGCTAGCTCTTTAGAGCAGTGCCCATTATAGTATTTGTAGAAAAGAGAAAAAGAAGCAACATCACGACGATGTGACAAAGGTTGGAGATTGGCTGCGAGAGCAGGTCCAACTATGTTTACAATGCGTTTTTGCACCTTGTCTAAAAGAGAAAGGGCATCATTAGAAGATCCGCCCCAGATATGGCAACAGTATTCCATACAAGGACGGATTTGAGATTTATAGAGGTAGAGAATAGAATCGAGATTAAGAAAGTGTCGAGCTTGATAAAGAGATGCAACCTTAGCAGATGCTAATTTTGCAATGGATTTGATATACGGTTTAAAAGAAAGATCAGAAGTAAGAGTTAATCCTAGAAGATAAATGGTAGATGACTCATCTAGTACATTACCATTCATAAATATAGGAAGGCCTAAATTATTATGATAACGATTGGCCTTAAAAAATTGAGTTTTATCTGAATTAAAGTTCACCAGCCACTGTGAGCCCCATGCTGTAGCAGAAGTAAGATCCTTTTCAAGCTCAGATACCCCCTCTAGGCAATCAGAGAGTGTAGGCTTCTTATCATGGCAAGAGTAAATGGTAGTGTCGTCAGCGAACAATGCCACCTTAGATGTGAGAATATCTGGAAGATCGTTAATGTAAATTAAAAAGAGTATAGGGCCAAGGATTGAACCTTGAGGAACCCTTGAAGTTACAGGATATGAAGAAGAGTGTTGTCCATCGAGGACAACTTTTATACTACGATTGGAAAGGAAGGACTCAATAATCTTTAAGATGTTACCAGATACACCATAAGAAGCAAGCTTATGGAGAAGACCAGCATGCCAAACTTTATCAAAAGCTTTAGAAATGTCAAGTGCGATAGCCTTAACCTCTCCACCTCTATCTAATGCACGGTAAAACCTTTCAGTTATTACTGTTAGCAAATCAGCTGTAGAACGAGAAGATCGAAATCCATATTGATGATCAGAAAGTAAGTTATTTGAATCAAGATGAGAGATTAAGTGTTTGTTGATTAAAGATTCAAAAAAGCTTGCTTATGACAGAAAGAAGGCTAATGGGACGGTAGTTAGATGAATCAGATCGCTCTCCAGAATTTTTGAAAATAGGGATAACAGGTGCTGCTTTCCAGCATGCTGGATTAAGATAAAACAGTTGTTAAAAAATTCACATTTAACTGTAAGCCAAGCTAGATTTAAATAGTTTATGCGTATTTTGTAAAAAGTATTAGTTTGGATTTGTAAAGTGAAATTTTTTATAAAAAATTCTTATAGTGTAATATAAAAAAAATTCCCACCCATCAACTTTTATTAAACCCCGACCCCTACCACCCACCCACTCTTGTATTAAGGACTCGAGAGTTTCCTTTTGTTGAATTAAAAATTAAAAGCACCTTAATTACTTAAGATATTACCTTTTCCTTTTTAGCACACCAGTTGCCTTTTCTTTGTTTTCACTTTCTGTAATATTCAAATCAGGTGTGTTTTCTGAAAGCTTTAACTTCTCACGTGCTCTTTCATAAGTAGCTAAAGTGTAAAATAATAACATTTTTTAAGTAAATGTTTTATATGGTGTTAAATGTCATGTTGAAATATTACCATTACCTGCCTTTCCTAATGTTCGAACATTACACTTTTTCCATGCTGGATTAGGATTTGCTATTTGGCTAACCAGCTTTGATACTTTTGAAAGTGGCAAAAACTCAGGCCAAAAACATTCATCTTCCTCTTCTGTGCAGAACCATTTAACTGGTATAATTTCACTGACTGAGTTGCTAAATTCAACTATTGCATACATAATCTAAATAAAGAACATATTTTATCAATATAGCAGGCCTCGGCAGGAAGCAAGAGCTTTAGCTCTCGCCCACACTCCCCTGAAACAGTTTATGAGAGCTATTTACGGCTCTCGCAAAAGTATAATTTTTCTCATAAAAGTATAATTATCATTTTAAATAAAATAAAAAATGCAATGTCATTTTAAAAAAATTAATTGCATAATATACTGAAATGCTTTTTAAAAGACAATAATGTTGCAAAAAAAAAAATTAGAATTAAAAAAGAGTGCTGATTTAAATGAGGAGCAGCTCACCAAGTTCATTTCAGGAGAGCTTTTCTCTGCTTTTGCACTCATTTATTCTTGCTGAAGCCTAATATAGGATTTTCAGCACTTGGTCAAAAATTGCAATAACCATAATAAAAATAATACGGCTAATGCAATAACAATTATATAAAAAAATAAACACTATTATTATATATGTAATGGAATCACAATGTATAGAAAATAGTGTAAAGTAACCATGTATAAAAAATTTATTTTGCATCTTGTTTTATTGTATTGCTAAGATTTGTTCACTACATGAAAATTTATCAGCGATATTTACATTTATTAACTTTTATTTAACAATTTTTTAACTTTTTTTTTTGTAACTTTAACAACTATTATTTAACATAATGTTTTCCCTCACTGAAACTTATTGACTTGGCACATAAGTCCTGAAAATTTCTAATTAATATCTAACGCGGTTTAAAAAAGTGGCCACTAATTTTATTTAGCCATTAATTACAAAACACTCTTAGATTGATACGTAAAAAAAAATTACTCTACTTAACATGCAATGACTCTACTTAACATGGAATTATAATAAAATACTAATATTTTTCAAACAAGCATAAACCAAAAACAAAAATAATAATAAAAAGCTTTTTATTGGTGAAGAAGTGGCATTAATACAAAGTCTCTTTTTAGAGGCATTATAACAAATTTGCGACCAAGCTCTAAAATGCTAATACTTTTTAAATTTCCTGTCAAATTTTTAGCAAGGTATATTTCTAACTGAGTGGATTTTATAGGGTATTCAAAAAACGACTCCAACTCTTTAAATGTGTCATACACAACAATTGCTTCATTATCTTCATTAAGAAGAATATTTAATAGTACTGATGGCTTTCCAAATATTTCAAAACAATTGTCCCCTTGTGCAGTTGAAGCAAATTTATTATCTTTTTTGTACTGTCTGTATTGCTGCTAGTAACATTGATTCAAACTTTGTGGCACAGGCCCTGATGTATGTTTTTTTTTGAATATGGCTTTTATATT